TCATTATCAGAAGTACTATAATTCATAACAAACCTAAATGCTAATCTTTGGTTGTTGTTGTTGTTGTTGTTGTTGTTGTTAATTCCCATCATTCAGAACAGTTCAACCGGTAATAACCGGTATCCTGCACTTGCATAAACATTACTATAAAACAGTAAAAAAAACCTTGACTTTTAACGGTATCAGTGATGGTACTGTTTATAAAGCTGAAAGTGCAATAATAAAATGCTGTTTAAGTGCCTAATCAAATACTTAATCCTCGACTTATCCAACAGCTTTCAAGCAAGAACACACACTCAACCATTAATAAGCCATAAAGACACATAGACTCCCTGATAGACACCTATAATTTATACTAGAGAAAAAAAGAGAAGTCTACACTCGATGAAACCTTTGAAAGGTCGAACTGTTGTTGAAAGTGATATTTGCTGTTTGGAATACCGATGTTTCTGCAATTGAAAACCTGGTTTTCAGTCTAGTTGTCAGATCGATTAATGCTATTCAGTCACTTTAAATTGACTACGATTATCGTCAAACAATTATATTTACTTATTTACTCTCGTTTTTCTTTCTCTGCTTACTTAAGCAGACTTTAATGGCCCTACATTCTGGAATTCAATGACTGGTACTGTACAGAGAGTAAAATAAGTACTAAGCCGAAAAAATAAAGTGAAAAAAAAAGTTGCAAAAAAAAAGTAGTAAAAAAAGTTTTTTTTTTTGAACCAATGTTTTTGCTCCAAATAAAAAAATCTTATTTATTTAATCACTGTTCATTTACAAACAATTTAAAACGATCTAAACTTCATTTCCATAACCAGTTTCATCCATCAGAACACAACTACCATTCATTAACCTTTTTCAACTACTAAACATATGAATAACCAGATAAATTTAGTAACCAATTACCACTGCTGCAAATACCGGACGTCAATAGAAAGCAGTTTGATAGAATAAACATTTAGTACAGCAATGTATCTATACAAAACTGATGTTAGTGAGAGAGAACTGAAATAAATGAATTTCCAGATAAATAGATATCAAACTTTATCACTAAGGTTGTAGACGGCAAAAAAAAAAAATTGTGACGTCCTGAACAACCTAAAAAAAATTTTACAGAAAGTATACTGATTAAAAAATACTGCAACTCCTTCCTCTTCCTTTCTTTCGTTTTACTTCTTTTTTTTCCCTTCTAGAAGTCAAGAGTATAAACGATTAAAACAAACTGGTTTCACAAACTCCCATTCCCCCTCTTAAAAAAAAAAGCAGAAATGACTGATCTTGAAGAGATTTTTGAAGCATATGTATTGTAGCAACTCTGCCTAGACATAATTTCTGAGACCCTTCTATTATGCTCAATAACACTTTATGTTGAACAGTTTTTGAAACATATTGATACAGACAAATCTGACAACAACAAGAACAACAAAGGTTTACAGTTCCAGATACTCAAAAACCTATGATTTACAAGCAAAAATTTCTAATCCAGTACAGGTAAAAAACAGAAAACTCTTCTTTTTGCAATCCAACTACTAGTTTACTTTTCTCGTTGAACTCCCCTGACGCTAATGCACTTTGTACAGACTGTACCCAAATTTTTATCAACAACAATTCAGTCTGTCCCAGTAACAGTTTAACAATATAGTTTATCTTTAGCTAACTATTATTTACATTAAGAAGCCAATACAAAAATAAAATTTATGACTTTAATCCGTGAGAGAAGAAAAAAAACAGAGTTTATAGCTGGTAATAAATATAGGCAAACTAACAAAAACCAATCTATTTTAATTAGATAATAAGAAGTAATACAGTTCAATTAATAGATGTAAAATTTTACACCAATTATCACAGCACTCAAACAGTTGTTTAAGCGTTTTAACAAAAAAATTTTAATTTTTTTCTTTAATTTTTATAAGCTTTATCTGGCTCTATTTATAACCGGATAATTATATTTCGCCGATAATGCACTTGAATATCCTTAATTTTCCTGGTACTGTTCATTACACCAATAATAACAGTAATATTAAACTATCCAAAGATAAGAGCAGAAAAGAACGACCAAAATTTGAATCGGAAAAGAGGCGATGATAGCGACAGCCGTCTATTTTGATTATAGGTTAGCAACTGATGTCATGTATGAATGTTTGGATAAACTTTATAAACCCTATAAACTCTAGAACAGCAGTGTTGTTTTTTCCATATCTATACGTTGTTTGGACTAACACCATAAAATTTTTCCTTCAATTTTATTTACATAGCCTTCAAGCCAAAAAAAAAAACTTTTTTCTCTGAAGCACAAAAAGCTGCTGTTTTACTTAAGTTCAATCTCACTCTAAACTGCCACAGTAACTCTGCACAATGTGAATCGATAAGACCCGTTGATGACGTTGCAGTTATCATAAAAACATCTGAACAGCAGTATCCTTTACAATGCCATCTACTACAGTATCCTGATGAGACAGATCATCCACTACAAATTCTAAAAACCGATGTCACGCAGTAAGTTAAATTAATGCTAATCAAATACTGCTATTAAAAACATTGATTTATACTTGACAAAACTAGTTTCTTATGCTTCGTCTGATAAGCAACGAAACAACTGCTGTAAATAAAAACAAAAGGAAGAAAGATAAGAAGATAAGAAGAGAAAAAGAGGCCTTTTTTTAAATAAGTTACTTCATGATCGCAACAACAGTAATTTATAAGTATATATTAAGTGCTCCAATGATTTAATTTCATAAGTACATACTGTAAAAAAATTGGAAAAAAAGTTTTCCAAAAATACAATAAGCTTTTCATTACAGGTAATATAATGAGCAACAATCCCAAATGTTTGAAACCCGACAATTATTAGGAAGAAACAAATGCAATTTTGTTGAATCATCTCCCTACATTTTCTGATCATCATTTAACCTCTAAAACAAAAGAATAAAGCGTAGGAGATGTGAAAAATAGATGAACTCATTTAAAAAAGCTGCTTTATTCAGCTATTTGCAGCTTCATCTTTACATATTTCGCAGATATGCTGAAAAATAACTGCCAAAAAATTTGTACTTAGAGTCAAAATCACCAAAAGTTGTTCAACAAAAATACAACTGCTTTTGCCAGAGTTTACAAATTATATGATCAACAAAATAAAACCATGGTTTATTGTTTGTGAAAACACGACTGACAAAAATTAGCAACAACGGGAAACCTCTGGGACAATATTGCCATGTTCTATTCATTATTTATAAATTATGCTATTACTTCACCACTAACTGCGTGTACGAGTTTTGAGAAGATTAATTGAACTGTAAAATAAAACTGCGGTGATTCAACCAATTCTCAACAAACAGAATTCAGCTATAATCAGTTGCAGCCTCAAAAGCCAATGCTTTTTTCAATGAAATTATTAGCCAAATGAGAAATGAAACTAAACCACAGTTCTAAAAAAAAACCTTTAAAAAATCATTCAAACGGTACCTTTGACTTATCCATAATTGAAAATTTAGATACAGTTTTGTCAGTAAACGTCACTGAGTGGCAGCGAATCCTCTAAAAAGTTATTTGACGTAACTCAAGTCAACCGATATTTATGTAAAACATAAAAGCCAGTCTTCCAGAACTCTAACGAAACTGTACCATTTTAACCCACAGTGACGGCACTTTTCAGCTTTTCAATTCCACACCCCACATGTGCACTTCAACTAAACAGATTCTTTGACCAGCCAAAGTCAACTTTTTTACAGCAGTAAAACCAAAGTAAGTTAATTAACAACCAAAGGTAAATATATGACCATAAAGTCCTAATAAGTCATAAAAAAAGAGAAAACAAATACTATCCTCGTACAACGGCACGCAAACCGGTCTGTTTCTTTCACATTTCACGGTTAATCTACGACTTACGAATCCACTTGAACTTTTTGTGGTCCACAGAATAATAAAGGACGAAATGTTGTCAAATTTAAAAAAAAATGTTGCAAACCATTTACTGTAAACATTCATTTGACTTCATCATAACCATTGTTAAACTAACTTTGCAAAACCAATTAATTTATTAAACAAATAGGTAAAACTGCAAGAAACCTATTAGCTCCAAACTGAATTTAGTGTCTCTATTACGACTGGTATTTTGTCAAATCCCAAGAATTACCAACTTTTATGATTGAACCTTCAAAATCAAGAAAGAAATATCTTCTAATGATAAAATATGAAACCAGATTTAGGTCAAAAACTGCATATTTGCAAAAGAACTATATTAACCAACATTTGTAAGCTAACAATTTATAAAATTTAAAGTGAAAGAGATCTGAATTTTTTTCAGTCTATTACCAACATTCAATCGTACTTCATTTGCTAAAAAGCTTATACATCGATATTTTCCAAATGGGTTAATAACGTACAGAGAAAACAATAAAAAACAAATAAATCGTAACTGCCCCTTTGCTTAAAAACCTGCAAATGACAACAGACGCAAAGTATGACCTTTGATAAAAGAGATCTGGAAATTGTAAACGAACATAAAAACTGATAATTAGAATAAGACACCAGTTGACAAATGAGTTAAAAGCAAGTATTTTAAAATTTCATTTTTCTATAAAGTGGAACTCCAGAATTTGAACACCTACTCGCTTTCTAACAAGATGCCCAAAAATTTGCATTAACTGTAAAAGTAATTTTCAGTATTTTTGAGTTTGCATATCCAACGAAAAAATTGATGGTAGCGAAAGTTAACATCAAATTCTGAACCACAAGAAATCACTTACTTGAGCATAGACAAAAATAATCTACAACGGTCTAAACCCAAACGAGTGGTCTACGACAACGATACACTCTTCCAGAAAATACATACAAAACATTAATAGCAGTAAAAAAACAATGACAACAACAAAGATCCCCTACCTTCATAAGAGGAACTGAAAAGACTAAAAGCAGAAATTCTAAAATGCCATTTAAGGAAGAGATGAACTACGAAGGAAACTAATTACCCAGTAATAAGCCCACACTCCCTAGAAACTGTATCAAAAAGACCGATTATGTTGCATATGTGCCATTCCAACCTGAGGTACCTGCTGAACGCCAGCATGCTGCACTTGCGTTACAGCATTTATAGATCCTTGTGACATTTGAGGTACATTTCCCTGAGCCACTTGACTTACACTACCCTGCGCTACTGGAACTGCAGCAGACTGAGGTATAGATGCAACCGCTGCTTGCTGACCGCTGTAGTAATAGCCGCTTAATGCTGGCTGTTGCTGATTAGGCGTTGAATAAACTAAAAATTACAAAGAGTATGAATTTGGAGGATAACTAAATAAAAAGGAAATTTCCAACGATACCGTTGTTGTTCGTGGGTATATAATACTGTTGTAACTGCTGAGACTGCGAATAAGCAACGGTGGCGTAAGGGTCAGTACGTGGTCTCTTCTCCAAAATTTCTCTAAAAAAATTTCTGAAGTTTCAAGCTTCATTTAAACTCATAACAGCCGGTAACTAAATTTACCCCTTATTTCTCGAATCTGCTCTTCTTTTCGTAGTCGACCCCCCACTTTCAACTGCCTTTTGCATCTTCATATGAAACTCCATGTGCTCTTGAAGCCTAAAACCGAAATGTAGCCAACTGACTACTTGATACACAGAAGATGTTGCAACGTGAAACGCAAAAAAAAAGCCGAATCTAAATGATCATTTAAAAAAATTACTTTGTGACATCACTTCCAAGGTCTTCCAAGAAATCCAGTTTTCTTTGCGAGAAGCGTAATTTATTCTCCTCTGAAAGTTCGCTGGAAAGGGCAAAGTCGAACGCTGACAGAACTTCTGCCTCATTTAAAGGTGAAATTGTGTAGACAAGATCTACGAGAGAAAGATACAGATCTGGATTCTCCTTAAGAAAAAAGTAAAGGTGGAACAGAAAATGTGAAAAAGTGAATCAAATTCTGCTCACAAAACTTCCCTGAATTCTCTTTCTTTTCTTCTGAAAATAACAGAATAGAACCGTAATGAAGCGCCAAAACTTTTCAAATGAATACAAGTTAGGCGCGTCATTATATTCTACCCGATGTTTTTTTAAAACTTTTGAAAACTTTACTGCAAACATTTCTTTAAATTGCTAAATAACCACTCGTATTCGAAAACAAACAAACCTTGTCTCTATTAATAGCATCTTTCAAAATTTTCTCCGCTAATTTCCTGTCATTTCTCACACGTGCATGAAACCTTGCTAACTTCAGAGCATAAAAAGTAGTAAGTTTTGTCGGGTTGTGAGGGTCGTGAATAAGCCGTTCATAACGTGATATCACCGGTGAGTAATCAGGCACTTTTCTGAAAAAGTACGAATCACTACAGAAAGTGGAGAAGGTAGTTGAATACGAATGCTCAACAAATACCTGAAAGCTTTGCCCTGAAAAAGCCATATTAATTCAATAACTTTGAAATTCTCTCATTATTAGCCTCTTCAGAAAGAAACAACTGAATTCAATCTAAATGCTATGTGCAGATCTAAATCTCGGTGATTCATTTAACGCATGAACGACAAGTTTCTTCCAAAAACATATTACGCACCCTTCACCAGCTTGAAACTGTGCCAGACGCCGCTCTACTCCAATCCGTCGCAATGCGATGACTCCATAGCCCGGGTGGCGACGATCAAATTCCGAAAGTATAGAAGCCGCCTTCTCAAAGTCACCTGAAAACGATTTTTCTTTGAAATTTAAATATCTTGACAAAAAGAAAGCTGTTTAAAACATGTCCAGTAATATTTAATAAGCTTGAAGACCAAAATTGGTCTGAAAAACAGCAGAAACTGAACCATGCAAGTGTCACAATTCGTCTGCAATAATAGGCAAAATCTGTCCAAACTGTATGACGCTTTTAGTAGTTGAAAAGATCTCATACTATATCTAGAGGAATACGGAAAAAATACCCAAAACAACAAATCTGCTATCAGTGGAAGCTAGAGTCAGTATCAACAGTTTTAATTCCGCTGTTAGTCATAATTGAAACTCATTAGCTAACCTCATGCAGCTACTGTACCAGGTAAGAATGAAGCATTTCCTAAAAAATCGATTTAACACTACTAAATCCGGAAAAAAAGGTCAAAAAGGACTAATAGCCCATACAGGCGTACCTAAGCGTATCAAAAATAAAGTTCAAAAAAAAAAATTAATAATGAAGCCACACAACTAGAAGTTTTCGAAGATCAGACGAGCAAGGAAAATACGCAGAAAATCTTTACAGGCACTGTGGAGCTATTCCGGAATTATGCGTTTTTGAGATAATTAAAAAGAAAAATCAATATTCAAAAAGTTGTCTAACTGGATAGACCAACGTTCTGCTCGACTTCCTCAGACTACCAATTTTGTGTGACCAAAAAACCTCGCAATTTCTATGGTTAATGTGGTGGTACATCATGCATCTTAAATGTAGGAAGCGGCAGGGAGTGCCTTCTAACGAAAAAAGTAGAAAATTAACAGAGAAGTGCTTTTGGTGATTTTAAAAAATAATTTTTACATGTGAAAGGCAATATTTGGAACAGGTGTTTAAAAAAAAAACCATGAAAAGACTAAAGCGAAACTCAAGAAAATTTGTAAAGGTACAAAACCTGCTATCTACCTGACCCCATAAGTACAAAAAACACTTGAAGTACAAACGAAAGCAATGTGCTCTTCAAGCAAGTAAATCCCAAAACAACCTAAGCAACTCAAACGGTTCTTTGAATAACGCAAAACGAAAAAAAAAAACCTGCATTATTCATTAACCAATTAACCAAAAAAGAATCCAATTTAAAAAACTTCATTTAAAAAAATATAGATCTAACAATAATAGCTGTACGGTATTGAAAGTACCACGGTAAACAAACCCTAACTGCAAGCAACAATTCTCAGTGCTGATATGCAAGTGCAATGTTTATCAAAAATTTCTTTAAATAATATTTTTCATTTAAAACATGAGGACTCAAAACCAGATTTTTTAAACAAGTTGAATTACCAAGTTCATGTCAACTCTGTCCAAAAAGTTACGACGACCGAATAACTTTTGAAATCCTCTTGCTAACGATCATTTTTTTGAAAAGAAAAAACGATTTGGTGTTGAGAAAACTTGTGCTGGCGCCGATAGTAACCCCTAAGGCCTAAAAATTCCTTTCAGTATCGAAGCATTCTACTTAGACAGCTCCTGTGACATTGGTAAATGTTTACTTCTTGAACTGGAAATTATCACAGTTCAAACAAACAAGAGATGGAGGAAATTAATAAATGGCATGACTTAAAAGCTATAGATTTGCTAGTGCCACCTCAAGTACCTTACTTATTATGACCCTACCTATGCGTTACTACCTTTTCAGCCATGTGAATGAGCTTCGCAGCAGTAAGTGATGAATCGAAGATGTGAGGTCAACACAGACATGTAACTGATTTTTTTGAATTGTCCAAAGTGCATGTAGCCTGCTGAATAAACAAAACAAACTTGCCGATGCAGCTTGCGTCATTTGCAAAAATTTCATCTCAAACTTAACGACATAACGAAATGAAAGGATCACCGGCTCGTATATCACAAGTATCACAAAAAGTAGTGCATTTGGATTACCATGTTTTTCTTCAAACGCGCTATATGCAAGATGAAGATTTGCATTCCGAGGCAAATGCGTTTCTGTAGCACGTCGATATACCATTCTTGCCTGTTGCACTTCATTTATACTGTCCAAATAGCGCGCATACTAGAAGTTTAAAATAAGTAAGCAAAATCCTACAGAAATTCCAAACGATTCTGAAGCAAATAAGGCCTATTGTGAAAAGGTTCTTGAAAAGCCATTTTGTGCAAATAACTAATTCTATTTAGAAAAAACAATAACAATCACTTAGCGCAAATAGGTTTCTTAAAGTCCTGGCACTAAATGCCCTTAATGAATGAAATCCTTGCTACTTCATACTACACTGGCTTGATTTATAAAGATGCCCAAACAACCTTTATCCACATCTCTTCGTACAACGCACAAGCTACCAAACATCTTTCAAACAAAGTTGTGCACCGCTCCACGTTACCACGAGAAACTTCGAAATCCAAATAAGCGTGCCAATTTCGAAGCTGTGCACGCTCTAGTGGTTTGACGTGGAAGTAAGGACGTTTTATCTGAAATGAGGCTTTGACAATAATCACAATTGCATAACTCAAAAGCAGTTCAAAAATACAAAACACACAAACCGTTTTATGAATGGAAATGGGTGACTTCAAATACACTGGAGGGAATGAAAAACAGAACACCTCGGTTAACTTACATTTTCTTCAAAAACCCAACGTAAGCTGATCTCCTGTTCATTTTGTGTATATTTCTTGCGTCTTTTTTCCACGATCTCATGGCGCAAGGCACGAAGAGCCTCTTCACAATGCTAAGAGTATAATAACTAAGTCATCAATAAAAAAAAAAGATAAATCTTAAGCATACGCTTCAGAACTTGCAGTAATTTGCTTTAACACTACGCTAGCTAAAGAACTGAAATAAAGATTCTATTTTAACCGGAAAAAACCCCTGTCGCTCACAGCAGCTTTTGTACAACAGAACCTTACCTTTCGCCTTCTCAGTATTTTTTTTGGTGGTTCTTCACCATTCTCGGGTATAATATCTGGTGGAGTGTCGTCTTCATACTCTTCAATTAAATATAACTCCCCATCCATAGTTTTCTTCAGATTTGCTTCAACCTTCAAAAATTTTATCCTAAGTAGAACCCCAGTCAGTAATAACAACCTGAGTAGAAAGTTTCTGACACAGCATTGGCCTAGGAAAGATACACTTACGAAATAAAAAATTAACACTTTCAGAGTAAAATAGGAGCACAGAGACAAAAATTAGTTAATGCAGGGGATGAAATTTTATAAAATTTAGAGAACGCCTACATAAAACTCATTAGGAAAACCACTAAGAGGAACTGAAAAAATGTACCCGTGCAAAAATCTCATTATATTCTTCTTCCTTGATGATCTTGTCTGGTTCATAACTGTTGACAAAAATTTGATACCTAAAGTTAATGCATAACAAAACTAAAGTAGTAAATGTAGACGATCTTGTAACATGACCAACTTGCTAAAAGAAAAGACAAGCCTCATATATTAGCTCCACTACGGCTACCTTCAAAGATGAAGGCTCAATAAACAGAAAACTAAAGGATAAAAAAACATTAAGGATCGCAAGATGAAGTAGGTAGGTCATTATAAAAAATTAAGATTCACTTTTCAAAATGGCTGTTATATAAGAGTGTTGGTGTGGACAGGAGGAGATCATACAATTCGCTAACACGTAATAATTCTCCATTTTTCTGCTCGAAATTAATATATTCTTTCCAAAGTTTATCTGAGCGGAAGTCTAATCCGCAAGCTTTCAAAGCTCTTTCGTAAATTCTAAAAAACGCAAAGTTCTTAACTGAATCAAATAAAACTAGAAGCGAAATCAAACCACATATGAAGACAAAAAAGAAAGCACAATCACCAATACTGTTTTAGTTGAAAATAAAAGAAGAAACTTTTTTTAATGACACATTAAAAGATCCTACGGCAGAATTAACGAAAAAGGAAAGGCGAGCAAAAACAAAAAAAAATTGCAAAAAAATTCGTGAAAAAATATTTAAAATATTTACGCTCTCAGCTTTTCAGCAGCGTTATCTTGATGCTGCACAATTTCTTGAATATAAAATAAGTAGTGAAGCCACAAATCAACGCTTAAACCGACAGCAGCGACTCCTTTCTCATAGACCTGAAAAATTCCTCTTAAATAAAGAATATCAAAACATCTTGATGTGGTCATCAAAAGGTACTTCAATAGCCCTTTCGTAATGTTTATGCCTTCTTTCGAACTCAGCATACTTTCTCCAGTACCCGTAACAATAAGGATATCGTTTGAAAAATGCATCATATGCTTTCCTGGCTGCCTTTGTATCATCCTAAAGTGACACAATAGCATATAAAACTAATGAAAATTAACAGAGGAGAGCCCGGAATTAATCTTTTAATTTCTCTAAAACTGAAATTAATTAAAAAGTCAACTTCATTTAATAATAATGAAAGACATCTGCGACATTCGAAGTACGAATAGGACGAGCTATGAAAACGACGAACCAAATGTTCAACGTATTGTAGCAGCTGAGTCCAACCATCAAAGTTTCGTGAATCCTCCTTTACTACGTTCCAGTATTGTTTTAAGGCATCAGATTCTCGGTCACTTGAGTCACTCCGACTGAAATTCAATTAAGTAAAAATTGGGAATAAACATAATAATAATTTAGTCCAAGAAGGAATTAAAAAAAAAAGAAATTGAATATCCTAATACTATTTAAACAATATTCGGGAAGTCCAACAAAAAAAAATCGTTCGGCAAGTTCGGTTTTAGAACAAAAAAGCGAAAAAACAAAATAAAACACAACCTTCGCCGGTCTCTGTGACGTGTGTGGCTTCTGCTACGGCTGCGTTCGTGACGTCTACCATGACTATGTCCATCTTCGTCTGAATCACTTCTACTTCTACTGTCGCTTCTGCTTGAACTGTCGTCGTCACGACCCATTTGATTGAGCGGTATAACACAACTTAAAATTGTCAAGAACTATGTCAGCATGTCGATGGATGATCAGTGACAACAAATACTTACTAGCCATACAGATTCTGAATTTTAAGCACACGCCTTATACACAGCAATTATTAATTTGCATGTCATCTGACAAACCGTTAAATGTAATTCTTTTTTTTTTTGCTCTCTATTTCTTTCTTTCTTTTCTTCTTTCCTTCTACAGCAAACAAATCATTACATATATACGGGTTTTCTCAACCCATTAATTATAACCTAAAGAATGAAAAACAGAAAAAAGAAAAAAGTACAAAAGATCAAAGATACAAATTTGACCGTATAAAGCAACACTTACTCCCCTGCCTCCGGAAAAAAAATTTAAAAAAGAGAAAAATCGAATAATCAGCAAGTAAACAAATAAAGGATGAAAAAGAGCAACAAAACAACAAAAAGTAAAAGCAAATCAGGAGTATCACAGTTCCTCGGAGACAACAAAAACAACTTTATGCTGATTTTTTCTCCATCTTTTTTTTTTTTTACATTGCATAATACATACAAATTACGAAGTATCCAATCCCCTTCCCCCCTTCGCCCGGAATATTTGGAAAGTTGAACGAAATCCTAAAACGGCGAAACCTTCAGGACACTTCCTGTCTAATGCAGCACAAAATTACGTAAAAGAACCAGCCAGGCGGCTGTTGCGGGCCCGTTGTAGATGACGTACGAAAAGAAGGGAAGGGGAAAAATGAACAGCATCGAGCTGTATGTCCAAAAAAAGCCACCATCGTTTCGTCATCTGACTTTCCTTATTCTTTATTTTTATTTATTTATTTTTTTTGCAGGCACCTTATTCTTCATTATTTGCCGCTGCCGATTTTTTTTGTTTCTGGTTGTCAATTTACCAGTTTTACAGCATCGTCGACAAAAAAAAGTTTGCTTATAAAATTTTTTTCTGTCTTCAACAGTACGAAGCCATTTTGTTTTGTTTTATTTTTTTGTTACATTCGAAGATGCAAAAGAAAAAAAAAAAAGGAAGCTTCTTTTCTTTTTTGCCGTTTTTTTGATGTACTCATACTGCTATAAGAGATCCATCTTTTTTTTTCTTTTTTTTTTTTTGTTGTTTTTACGGATTATGGATAACTTATTGACAATTTAGTGGGGTTTTTTCAGTTTTGCTTTTATCAAAGAAATTTCCAAAAAAAAAAAGCATTTGTTAAAGGGGAAAAACTAGCGGAAATATTCAGGTCAATTTGTTATACTCCGGGGCCAATATGGTTTACAAGACTACGAAACGTTCGTCTGTCTGGTTGCAAATGCGGCAGAAGTATTTTATTTTTATGATAGGATTATTGTCTTTTTTTTTTTTTTTTTCAAGCTCTTCTACTGATCTGTTTATTATAGCGCTTGTGGTATGTAGTGTAATTTTGCTACCATTTTTGATATGTGCCCACATCATACGCAGACAACTTTGGCTACACTTTGGTGCAGTGTTGGTTATTTTTCCGATTGATCTTTCAGCATAGGAAGTGAACAATTTTGAAAAAAATTCTATTTTTCTCAATAACAGTAGCGAGTTATGAAAAAGAGAACTAGAAAATTGTAAGTTTTTTTTCTTGTTTTTCTTTCTGATTAACCAAGATCTTTTTTCTTTTACAGGTTGTTTGGGGGTCACATTTTTTATTCTGCTTCTTTTTTCTTCACTACGCCCTCAGCAAAATTAGTCCTCGCAATAAGCTTTGAAAAATTGGATTTCAAGCGTTAGAAAAAACCAAAACATGCTCAGTTAATAAGTTTTTTTTCAAATTTGATTTTTTTTGCTAAAGATAAAACCAATGAAAACAATTTGTTTTTGTTGCGCAAGTAGTCCTCTTCTAAGAGATGTTTTGGTAAGATATTCTCAACAATGTCAATTGTGCAGAGCTTTTTTGTCCCTTCTATGGTGCTCTGTTTGACGAATTTCCACCTTTTTTCTTTTTTTTTGAGATCACTCAGTGGTCGGTTCCGGCAGAGCTAATCTTAGATTGTTTTCAACCTGTCTTTGGTCTATATTTGCGTTTATATATATAGATCCAAACTTTAGTTTTACTGGGACGCTTCTTGTACTATATTACGTGCTATACTGAAAATGATTAACTTGGATTTTTGATTTCCATATTGTTACACTATTTCGCTTTTTTTTTGGAACTTTTATTTAACCAAATTTGGATGGTACGGGAACGAAAGTTGTGGGATTTTTTGCTTTATACACGATTTTTTAATGGTTTAATGTATTGCACGAATTGGATTTATGACGAGAGTTTTAGAACCTTTTCGCTTAATGGTTGCATGCAGCTGCAAAATTTTTCTGTCATTTGGAAGACATTGTTCTGTTTTTTATCAACGGTCAGAAGGAAGAAATTGATCTAGTTTGTATAGAGCCTGTACTTCATTAGTTTTTGGTCCAGATTGTGGTTTTTGTGGCAAAATATGAGTTGGTTATGTAAATACGTCTTCAGTAATGATCGTTGCTGGCTTTGTTTTACCGGAGTTGCTGCCGCTTGCGGATAAGAAATTTCTTTACTCATCCCAGCAGAGTGGCTGGGGGAAAGCCAATAGACAAGGTCCTGCGGAGAAGTAAGTGAAGGGTGATGAAGGATTGGAGATGGGAAGAGGCTGAAATAAGAAGCAAACATCAAAAACGGTTTTGAATATTTTTGACTTTGTCATGTAAAATTTTTTTCTGTAAGATTCTGACAGGACTTTTCTGCAGTTACTGCTTTTTCTTCAAGGAACTCTTGTGGTATATTACCCTTAGAAGTTGTGCCATGGTTAATTCATTGCTTTTTCGACTAGCAACTCACTAATAACTTGTTTATGAGCTTCATTAGATCGCTTTTCGCTTAAAATTA